ACCCACCCGTTTTCAAGAAAGCAGAAAGTGCTGGAGAAACTCAGTAGGTTCCGGCGGTATCCGTGGAGAGAGATGGCACAGTTAATGTTTCAGGTCTGGTGCCCCTTCTGCAGAATTGATAGTAACTAGGTCAAGGTCGTATACGCGGAAGACAGGGGGACTGCGAGGTACGGAGTAAACAATAGGCACGGACAGAGCCCAGAGGGAGAGGAAGACAGGCAGACAAAGGGATGGCTAATGGTAAGCCAGGGAGAAAGCTGTTAATGGGGAACCATGAGTAGCTGAAAATGGGTTGGCTGTGCTGAGAACAGCTCCTACACCACGTCTTCTCAGCTCCTAACAATTCTGAAGAAGGGCCACTGGACCAGAAATGTCGACTTTTCCTGCTCCTCTGATGCTGCCTGACCCGCTGTGTTCCTCCAGCTCCACACTGTGTTACCTCTGACTCCAGCATCTGCAGTTCTTACTATCTCCCTCTGCACAGATGCCGCCAAACCTGCTGAGTTTCTCCAGCAATTTCCGACCCTCTTTCAGATTCCCAGCATCCGCAGTTCTATGTGTTTTACTCAACTGTGTTCTCTTGAGGGAGGGGGAAATCTGCTACCCTCGCCCGGTCTGGCCTATACGTGACTCCAGACCCGCAGCAATGCGGTTGACTCTCGACGCGATGACCCTGAAATCACCCAGCAAGCCACTTGTTTCGGTTAGCGGAGGTTGGACAATTAGTGCTGGCACCCATAAGCCATCGAAGAGTGTGTTTAGGAAAGAGGGTGTTGGAAATATAGATCCACAGTCACCTGAAGGGAAGATGTTTTGGGGGTTTGGGGTTCAGGTTATCTGGGGCTAACCCACCCATTAAGTTTATCTGATCAGACTTTGTGCTGCATTTGTTTGGCTCCCAGCCCCACTTGTTGCTCCCAACATTAATCCCCTTCGAAGTCGGGGGTGTTAACATCAGCTGTGTGGTTGGGGAAGGGTGGGCTTGTGGAGGCTTGCATTCTGTCAAAGTCTCGTGGGATCCCTGCATGACCACGTCATAGAATCCCTACGGTGTGGAAGCAGGCCATTTGGCCCATCGAGTGCACAAGGGCCCTCCGAAGAGCATCCCAGCCAGACCCACCCCATCCCTGCAACCCTGCATTTCCCATGGCTGACTCATCTAGCCGGCACGTCCCAGGACGCGATGGGGCTATTTAGCTATGAGCCAGTCCACCCAACCTGCACACCTCCTCCACTGTGGGAGGAAACCCACACAGACACGGGGAGAACGTGCAAACCTCTCACAGATAGTCGAGCCAGGGTCCCTGGTGCCGTGAGGCAGCAGTGCTAACCACCATGTTGCCCCCAGTTAGGTTAAAATGAGTGCCCTGACTAAGTGGCTCCTGGTTTGAGATCGCTGAGGGTGGAAGGAATGAGGGATGGGATTTTCCAAGAAGGAAGGTTCCCAGCTACCCCAAAAGATACTGAGCATTTTGACACAGAGAAGCAGGTGGACAGGTTAAAGGTGTCGGACAGGTTCCTGTTGTTTGTTAAGTATACTTCATATCCCGAAGGACAAGAAAGGGCGGTGTCATAAGTAGCTGCAGGTCTAAAAGATCAATTTAAAAAGCCCTGGGAGCTCTCTCACTTCACTGAATGTTAAGAGATGATGGGACAGAGCATTTAGTCTCTGCTTCTATGGGTCCTGCTGCCCTCCATCTGGGACAAGCAAAGAGTGCTTGCCTTCTATCATTGAAGATGATCGTGACATCATCGCAGAATCCTTTGAGTTCAGTTTCATGCGTTAAACATTAACCAGGCCCACTTGAATGCTGTTCCACATTGGGCATGTGGACTGCGTTGAGTATGGAAGAGATGTTTGCCATTGGGTTCAGCAGGTTAACTACGCTGTGGGGAGAGATGAACGGAGCTAATGTGTCGAATCCAGTGTGAATCTTCTTCGGCAGAGTTCTTGAGTTCTGAAGAAGAGTCACTTGGGCTCAAAACTTCAGCTCTGTTTCACTCTCCATAAAAGCTGCCGGACCTGTTGAGTTTTTTCCAACATCCTACCACATCTGTTGCAGATTTACAGCATCCACAGTATTTAGAGTCATAGAGTCATACAGCACAGAAACAGACCCTTTGGTCCAACTCGTCTATGCTGACCAGGTTTCCCAAACTAAACTAAGTCCAAATTGCCTACATTTGCTCCATATACATCTAAACCTTTCCTATCTGTGTACCCATCCAAATAGCTTTAAAATGTGTTAACTGTACCTGCATTTACCACTTCCCCTCTGTATACAAACCACCCTCTGTGTGATAAAGTTGCCTCTCAGATCGCTTTTGAAATCTTTCTTCTCTCAACTTAAACCTATGCTTTGTAGTTTTGAACTCGCCAACCCTGGGGGAAAGAACCTTCTGCCAGTCACTTTATCCGTGCCCTTCATGATTTTATAAACCTCTATAAGGTCACCCCTCAACCTCCTATGCTCCAGTGAAAAAGTCCCAGCCTTTCCAGCCTCTCTTTATAACTTAAACTCTCCAGTCCCGGTAACAACCTGGTAAATCTTTTCTGTACCCTTTCCAGTTTAGCAACCTCTTTCCTATAGCAGCCACTAGAAATTTGTAAAGGGCTTTTTGTGAGTAGTTGTCCCTGTTTTACTTAAAACAAATGGTGCGCGCAGTCTTTGTAATCGCAATAACTCCGGCAGTAAATTGAGGCCCAGGTCAATTGGAAGGAGTTATTGCGATCAACTTCACAAAACTTCCATCCCATTACGGACCTGCCATTCTCCGCTTTGTGTCTGTCCGTGTGGTTAATTCAGTGCCCGTGACACTTGAATTTCTGCTGTGTCTCCCGAATTACCCCCCAGAAACTCCTGCCATTGCTGCTCCACCTGCTAGGCTCCCTTTCCAGTCAACTCTGGCCAGCCCTTCAATTATAATGCCCTTACATCTGATTCCACCTTCTCCCTCTCAAACTGCAGGGTGAATTCTATCATATTGTGGCATTTGGTATTATCTAGTTATTCTGTGTTTGTTTACGTTAGTCTGGTGACTGATCTCTGCTCACCGGACTTGACCGTTAAGCTTGGAGGATGACCCAGAGCTAAGCTAAGCGGTGACATTTGTGGAACTTTGAAGCTGAGTTTGGATAGACGTGGGCGCGGATATTTTGTGATCGTAGAAAGATGCTAAAAGCGTTGTTTTTAAGCCCGCTGCCCGCTTTGAAACTATCGGCATCTGTGCATTGCTGTGAGGGAAATCCACAAGACTTGTCACTCTGGAGTTTGCGGAGCTCATGTTTCCTGCTAGACCTCTGCTCTCTTCCCAGAAACAAGCTGATGCCATGAGGAAGAACATCGAGTCTGAGTTTGCCAAGATGCGCCAATACCTGCGGGACGAGGAAAAGATCCTGATGGGCAAGATTAAGAAGAAGGAAGACAGCATCCTGCAGCAGCTGGAGGAGAACCTGAAGGCAGCCTCAGCAGAGAGGGCCCTGTTGAATGAACGTATCGTGGATGTACAGCAGAGGATGACTATGAAGGATGCAGAGATCCTCAAGGTAAGCCGCAATTGTACCTCAGCGTGATGGGCAGACGCAGCATCAAGAAGGGTTCAAGTCGAGGGGTTAATTTGGGCCAAACCTACTCCTCGCTGACTCCAGAGGAGTGCCATATCGGGAATGGGTGGCCATTAAAACCCCCTTGTGACCCACTCCTGTCGGTTTTAAGTCATCATAGGCCAGAATCGCCCCTATGTTGGGATAGAGGATTTGAGGCACTGCGGAGCTAGTGATCACATCAAGCCTGATGCAAGCTTATGCATCAGAAGCAACTGTAACCCAAAGGCTGGGGCATCCTCTCAAGGGTCACAGGGAATGGCAATGTGTCCCGAGAGTCCAGTTCTCAAGGATGGAGTAAAACCTTGGGGGGTGGGGTAGACTTACAGGCCGTCCACACCTTAAAAAAACACAGCCAGTCATGGATGGGATGTCTTCTGGTCGGGGTGGGTGGGAGGGGTGGTGGTGGGGGGGCGGGGGGTGGGGGGGAAGGGGAAGGAATTTGGTCAAGTTGATGCTGGGAGGAGAATATTCCAGAAGGTTGCCTGGGTGTAAATTATGAGAATTGGTAGTGGCATGCACAGTCAGTTGGAGCTCAGATGGTATACTCTCAGGCGGGTTTGATGGTAGTAGGCACTGAGTGGGAGTTAGAGGGTTTGGAACGAGTGGTGTCGGGGGTAATTTCGGCTCAGATGCTGAGGATGTTGTAGTCTCAAGTTGGGAAGTGGATCCCATACTGCTTGAGTTTAATGAGGGTTCAGTTGAAATGCTGTGCGCGTGCTGATGGCATTGGTTCCTGGTCAACTGCTGCCTTGATTTTAAAGTTGAATTCCTTCTATGTAAGCCCATCCTTTAATCTCCTCCAGGCCTAGAGCCCTCTGAGGTATCTGTGCTCCTCTGAGTCCAAGCCTCTTGATCAGCCCTGTGTTAATTGCTCCACCATGAGTGACTGTACCTTCCCCTGGCAATGCCCCAAGCTGTAGAATTCCCTCTGTAACCTCCTTGACACTGTCCTCTACTCCTTTAAGATGTGACTTAAAACGCAACCCTTTGCCCCAAGCTTATGGACATAGAGTCATAGAACCACTCTCTATGTATAAAAAAGGTTGTCCCTCATGTCCTTTTTAAGTCTTTCATCTCTCACTATAAAAATATGTCCCCTAGTTTTGAGCACCCCCCACCCTGGGGAAAAGACCTTTGCTATTTGCTCTGTCTATGCCCCTCATGATTTTACAAACCTCAATAAGTTCAACTCCTACTCTCCAGTGAAATAAGTCCCATCATATCCATCCTCTCCCCATATAACTCAAACCTTCCATTCCTGGCAACCCCCTGGTAAATCTTTTCTGCATCCTCTCCGGCTCGATAATATCCTTCCTATAACAGGGCGACCAGAACTGGACACAAATACTCCAGAAGAGGCCTCACCAATGTCCTGCACAACCTCATCATGACTTCCCAATTCCTAGACTCAACGGTCTAAAAGCTTACAAAGCGGCCAAAAAGTTGTAATCCTGAAGAATTGGGAGATGTTTAGAATTAGCAAGTAGGACAAAGAAATTGATAAAGATCTCCCCTTGTATGGCTTGGTGTCTAATTTTGCTTTTTAACTGCTTCTGTGATGGGCCTTGGGACATTTTATTAAGGCAAAAGTCCCTCAAGATGATGAGTTTGTTCTTGAATACGTTTGGATTTTGTAACGTTTGACTGTCTATTATTTCCATCTGTGCCACCTCTAACCTTCTGTACTTTTTTGTGTCCAGGACATAAAATTATTCCTTGATGGGTATGTAATCTTTTGTCTATATTTCAGATTTTAATTCTGTCAGCTAATTATTGCCGTGAATTATGATTTTGTTGTAAGTACCATCTTAAACAAATTTGGTGAACAAGTGTGTATCGTCAGGAGAAATTGATTTCCGAATTGCTTGCTAGTAAATGCTAAGTGCCAGCCTTTGGCAGGAGAGTGAGCAGGGAAAGCAAACCCACTTTGTCTCCAGACATTAGAGTCATACTGAATAGAATTGTAGAAACCCTACAGTGTGGAAGCAGGCCATTCGACCCATCGAGTTCCCACCAACCCTCCGAAGAGCATCCCAGGCAGACTCATATCCCTCCTTACTCTATCCCTATAACCTTGCATTTCCCATGACTAATCCACCCACCCTGCACATCCCTGGACACTGTGGGCAAATTAACGTGGCCAATCCACCCTAACCTGCACATCTTTGGACTGTGAGAGGAAACCAGAGCACCCGGAGGAAACCCATGCAGGATGGCGCAAACGCCACTCACAGACACATGCATACACACACACACTCACACACACACACACACACACTCACACACTCACACACATATATATACACACACACTCACTCACACACACACATATATACACACTCACACACACATATATACACACACACTCACTCACACACACACATATATACACACACACACACACATATATACACACACACACACACATATATACACACACACTCACACACACACACACATATATACACACTCACACACACATATATACACACACACTCACACACACACACACATATATACACACTCACACACACATATATACACACACACTCACACATATATACACACACACATATATACACACACAC